AGCATACCACATGCAGCATACTACATGTAACACACTACATGCAGCATACCACATGCAGCACACACCAGAGGTACTGGGATGAGGAGCAGGATACCCTTCCTKCTCCTCACAGCCCATTCAGAAGGTTGATTCTCTCCCAGCCAGCCATTGCTCCCTTTCCTGCAGGACTCACCTACATTCTCTTCCTCTTCCCTCTCCAGGTCCTGCCACCTACACCTTGCCCAGGATTCTGGGACCCAACACAGCCTATACCCATGCCAACCCGTGCTACTCCATGAAATGGAAGAGTCAATATGGAAGCTGCTTCCGAGACCTGGCAAAGGTGAGCTGTGCCCCTCTGTTCTCTCACAGCAGCAGCAGCAGCTCAACTGCTCTCCTCAGGGTAGAAGGGTCTCATCACCTGGCAAGAATCCACASAGCCTTTTGCACCCACCAACCYCATTGCTTCTCCTACAGACGCCAGGTCCTGCGGCATTTGACAGGGTGGAAATGGACGTCTACAAAACCAGGGCTCCCAAGTTCACCATGGGACTGAGAACCAAACTTGCTGGCCCGGGAGCATCTCCAGGTCCAGCAGAGTACGTCCCAGGAAAGGTAAGGCAGCCCAGCCACCAACGTGCTCTGCCRCACGGCCTCCACTCAGGACAAGTCTGGAGAACAAGGCACCAAATTCACCCTTTCCTCTTCCCACTTTCCCCTTCCAGTTGTCGGTGACCAAGACTCGGGACCCTGCTTTCACTTTTGGAATCCGACATTCTCTCTACAAAGCTGCTTTAATACCTGAAACACAACTCGAATAAAAACAGATACCTGCAGAGATCTGCTTCTGTTCCTTCTGTACTGCAGGGAGCGGTTCGGACCATTGGCTCTCACTCTTTCTTTGCCTCAGCCACAGCACAGCAGGGGAGAGCAGTGAGGGGAGAGCAGTGAAGCAATAGCTTGAGCAAGGCTGACATCTCCAACAGAACTGAACCAGAGCAAACACTRTGAAAGCATTCCAGCCCTGCCTGGCACGCGCTTACCCCACAGCTGAGCATCCCCATAGGCCCATGCTGGTCCCCATGGACACAGCCCATCTCAGCATCCCCCTCTGCAGTGCACACACATGCCATCTGCCCAGGCTGTGCCCACAAACACAGCTGCCCTGCATCATCTCTTGCCATAGGCAGGGGCTCATTTGCACARGCAAGTYCCCAGACCACTAACAGTTGARGAGAAAGAGCCATTATTCCCAGTATGGAAATGCRATCATCACAGGTTCCTGCAACAGCCCAGGTGGGAWGGGACCTTGGAAGGTGACCTTGTCCAGCCCTTGTGTGGGAAAGGCAGCCTCGGGGAGACTAGCTAGATCCCAGCCAACTGCACACTTGATTGCCTCCAGTGCTGGGACTCTACTGCATTCCTGGGGAGGCTGTTTGTCCCCTCTGGCTAAGTGGTGATGCCAAAAGCATTCATCCCTGATTTCTAGGGAACAGGGTGGCAATTAGAGTGGGCAACTCTTACAGGCTCTCCTAGGCGGCAGTAGCCTCTGTCAGTTCTGTGGTCAGTAGACTCAGTTAATCATAAATACATTGATAAAATAATTGGTTGAATCATAAAGAAAAAAACAGTAGTTYTCAATACAAGTAGAAAAATATGAAGCAGAAGGTCTAGGCATGTTAGTAGTGCTGTATTTAAAATATGCAACCAGACAAACCTCACCCAGAAGTTACTGGATATCTTAGGTTTTTTTTGAAGAAAATTTGCAGCCACCGTGCTGCTTGAAAGCCCCCTACCCTTCCCGTCTCAATTTGAATGTCAGGGATTCCAGTCAGTAGATTTCAGTAAAGATGATCAGCCAGTGATCAGTGTTAGGGAAGGAATATTACTGAAGTTATAAAACTAGTGAAACCAATCGTGGTAAAGGTTAAATCTAAGAAAAGGCGTATTATGCACAATACATAGAAGAACTTACATAACAAGGACACGTGGATGGAATTTGTTTGCTAATTTAACAAGTTTGGAGGAGTGATTCCCGGTGATTCCGGCGCTGAAAGAAAGAAGGGTCTGCTTACTCATTACAAATTGGTGTTGGATAAGCTTCTTGCATCCCGTTTGTGTCAAAGCGATTTGGCAGAAGCCCTGTCCTCAGGCAGCATTGGACTAGAAAGGGCTGTGCTGGGACTCAGGGCATGGGGACACAAGCAGGTTTTTGTGAGGACAAACTAGGGCTGTTCCCCGCAGGACTGAGCCGGGTCGGTGGCAGCGCCGTGCCCAGCCCCAGCAGAGCCGCACAGGCAATAGGGCAGCGCTGCAGCACGGACAGAGCAGCGCCGGGTCCGCCGGGTCAGCCCSGGCGCCGCTGACCCCGAGCAAAGGGCGCCTGTGACCGACTGCGGAGCCGGAAGGCGAATTSCCGGGACCACGAAATACAGTCCCGCCGTGTTATCAGCGGACAGGCGTCCCCTGGTAGCTGTTGTCCGGCGGTGCCGAGCTGGCATTTGGCGTCTCGGGGAGCTGTGGCAGCGGGAGCAGCGGAGCGGCCTCGGGATCTCCTGAGCGCGGCTCCGGGCGGGAGCCGACAGCGGTGGGCAGCAGATCCGACGGGGAAAGGGGAGGGGTGGGTGGGTGGTTGTGGTTTAATTTTCTCACTATCTGAATAAATAGGAGTAAATTACACTAATTTCCCCCAGCCGAGTCGGTTTCACGCGTCGTTATCTCCATTCACGAGCTTTTTCACCTTGTTTTCTGCCCCGGCTTTCCTTCCGTGGAGACCTTGGTTGCCATCGGCTCCTCACAATCCAACCCCGAGCAGGCATCTTCTTTGCCAGGGCTTGAGGTGCTCTTCTCTTCATTTTGAAAAGCCTGTGCTTAATGGGAAATTTTTTAACCAAAATTACATGAAGAACTCGGTGAGTTAGAATGATTACAGGAGAACACAGTTAGAATAGGAAAGAAATAGAAAAGTTGCTGTTGCAAAGGAGGGATAAAGGTAAATGAAGCTTTGGTTAACAGACTGAATGTTCAGTCCATTGTAATGCAGGAAAAAATTAGAATTTGATTTTTTTTTTTTAATCTAAAAAAAAAATTCATCTTAGTAGTATTTAATAAATGAATTGACGCACTATGGTTCACATGTTTGACATTCTGACATTCACACATAGGACAAGAGATCCCCTGAGTAAAAAGAAGGAGCTACACAACCCAGAGGAGGTGAAAGCTTCTTTGTGTTTGGCATATTGCAGTATACTGCAGTTCACTGTGTGCCCAGTTAAGTGCATTTATGGTGGGCTTTTTGTCTGATTTTGTCTGTTTTTATTACCTAGTTTTATCTGAACCCTTCCTAAGTGCATCAAAGGCTTAAAAAGATCCCTGCACAGAAACTGCATGTTGCTGATCATACTCAACCYGGCTGAAACAACCTGTGTCCTCAGGCTCTACTGTACCAGAAAGGAATATACTGTATGTCTGTTCATGTCTCATTGCTCATGCAGCCCCATCATGGAGGAGTTCAGCAGCTTGTGATCCAAGTATTTAGTCCCACTGGAGAGCAGGTAACATCTGCTGAATGTCATGGGGTGGAGGAGGGCGATATCCTTGGCTGTCCCCATGTTTGCRCACAGATGATGCATAAGGTACAAGTCTGCACCCAGCTATCTACCAGAACTTAAAGCTGTATGTTCTTGTAGTTTTGGGTCACATGAGTGCTCATTTGAATGCCTCACATTTCATGTGTTATTTTTCTGTGGTCCCTTAATTTATGTTTTTTCCTGGAGACAGTGATTTGGGCCTGGTGTTTGTAAGCAGAATTTTCTGCTGAAGGTTATGTTTAGGAGCACCTCTGTGCTGCCACTTTTGGGAGTTTGGCAGCCTGAGCATGCAAATAAAGGCAATAGAGACCTTTCTGCAGAATGCAGAAGAAAYTGAGCACTCTCAGGTCATGAAAAAAAAGCTGAATGCCAGCCATAGATCCAGAGCATTTTCAGATTTCTCCCCAGTAAGTAAACATAGATAAATTCTCCATACATTGTAACTGCCAGTGTGCTTAGCAATTATTGAAAATGCTGGTAGGTCTGATAAGTTATTTTCATATTTAAGTTTGCATCTTAGTTTTGGGGAAGAGTTATTGGTGGGAAATTTGTCAAAAACATTAGTGACAGTGTTACTAGTTCACAGTCTTAATGACTGAAAAAGCAGCATGTGCGCTCTAAGACACTGAATCTCAACCAGCCAAAAGGCAAGGCCTGAGACCAACTCTCTTCCTGAGACTGTGACTTGTGATCGAGCTGTGTTGCTGAGTTTTCTGAGAATTCACCTGAATAATTTAAATATTTCCAGATTGAAAAGCTTTTTATCATCAGAAAACCTGAAGTGGCTGCCAGTTCTCTCTAAGAGAAGCCTGTGTAGTTCACTTGTTATGGATTTGCTTGTTCTATAAAAGTTTACAGGGAAGAATCTTTACACCAGCTCTGCTTTGTTTTCTGTAGCTGTTTTTGGACATACATGGCTAGAGGGAATTGCTCTCTGTCTGAGGGGAATTCTTTTTTTGACTAAAATGTGATGAAGTAGTGTATCCACTTTAAATGTTCTTACATTTGAGAATAAAGGATAAGCTATGTTATACACCCAGAAATAAAACCAAACAAAACCAAACATCCTTACTCGATCTTCATTTTTTCCCTGGAAGGGATTTAAGGACTCTGGCCATCTGGATGTCTGGCAACTCAGTCAGAGCTGTGGCTACTGTGTGTGTTCAGATTAACTGTGTAGCACATGCACAGTAAGTCCAATGTGTCCAGTACACATCAGACCTGCTGCACATGTGCTGCACAGATGGTCCGTGCATACACAGTAAATCAGCTATGTTAAGCCTACTGCGCATATGCAAACCATCTGTGCATTGCACATATGTATATTTTTGCATGGGAAATCCCTAGTCAGAGCATGAAAGGCTGTGGCAGAGAGGAACTCCAGTGGTAGAGAGACCGTGAGAGAGTCTGACAGTGGCATAAATTAAAGCGGCTCCTTGCCTGTTTTTGCTGTGTCTGGGCCAAAGCTGCAACAAATAAGTTCCTCAGAATCAGAAAATGTGACTAACTGCTCAACAGTTTCAATCTCTGTAACAATTGGCTGCAGGAGAGGATCTGTATCAAAACCATTAAAGCCAGTGATTATCAGCTAGAACTGCAGCTAGTTCATCAGGTAGCTCAAATGAACAATGTCTGGTGTTTTACTTATTTACTATAAAATCGTGATGCTTATGGTGCAGGCCTCAGAGATATGTTTAGCCAACTATCTTTATTTCCCAGTAATCCTTTTGCTTCTCTTCTAATATTCAGCATTGTTAAGAAGACTGTTTGAGCCTGACAAGGGTGCTTACTGGTTAGTACATAGGCACAGTTTACATATGTATAGAAAAATATTATATTTTTCAGTGAATATGCAAGTTATTGCTTGTAATGTTTAAGATACATCTTTAAATCCCAGTCCTGACAATAGCAAGTAGGCTCTTTAAATGACATCTGCTTTAGATCTGTCTGTAATGAGTTCTAATGATCTGAAGTTGAAGAGCCCCTTTTTAATGCCACAAGGCATCACTGCTCATCTAACTGAGGGAAGAGATATCTTCACAGACTTGAAAAGTGGGCCAGTGGGAACCTCATGAGTGCCAGGTCCCACACCTGGATCGGAGCAATCGCCAAATTTGGTACACGCTGGGTATATGAATGGATTGAGAGCAGCCCTGTGGAGAAGGACCTAGGGGTACTAGTGGATGAAATATTAAATATGAGCCAGCAATGTGTGCATGCAGCCCAGAAAG